GCGAAACCAGTCGAGCTTTCCTCTCTCACTTTATTCAGTACCGTTGTATAGATATCAAGGAGATCTTGCTTCGAACAGATGGACTTGTGCATCCTCCGCGTTCTAAATTACGAGAGATGGATGATGACTTAACTCTAACGAGTCTTTCTTAACTGGTTTTTTACGATCTGAGAAGGATTCTATCAGCCACATTATGTCAACTATACAAAGAATGATTATATTCATGAGAATTTAAGAGATTTTCTTAAAAATTCATGTTCTCGTCGAAAAAAATAATATTCATTTTATACATTTTTATAAAACGATTCATAAATATTTCGGTTTGTTGTTACACTAAGTAATGTGAAATGATAATGTGAAAATTGAATATTTATAAAATAGTAAAAATTTTTTTTGGACTTAAAAATTCACATTTTGTACATTTTGTATATTTCTATAAAAAGAATATTTTACATTGTCGATACATATAGTAGGTTAAATAATAATTTTAACAAGAGATAATGTGAAAATTAAATATTTTTAGAACAGTAAAAATTTTTTTGACGTAAAACTCGAATAGTCAATAATTATTTGTTAAAAAATAATACATTAGTGCAATATTTTATAGTTAATCGTAGTAATTGTAGTTGCTCCAAGAATATAGTAAAATAGTTTTTGAGAGGCACTATTTATTTTTTTTAATTTTCCTTTAATTTAAAATTAATTATATAGAAAATTTTCAATTAACTATTTATTTTTCATATATTATATGAAAATATAATAATAATTATGATTTTTCATGATAAACACTGAAAAAAAAATATATTCATTGTGATTATATATGTATAAATATTAAATATTTTATATTTACTACAGCAGATTTTTAATATTTCACTAATTTCTTATACATATGCAGACTGAAAATTAAAATATTATATCTTTATCCAAATTTATTCCAAATTTATTCAAAATTTTTTCATATATTTATAATATATATTATATTTTTAATATTTATTATGTAAAGCTATTTATAAACTATTTAAAAACAAAAATTTTATTAATATAAATTACTAAACAAAAATGTAAAATCAATAAAAAAATAATAATCTTTAAATATCTTAAAGGTCTTCAAAAAATTTGTTAATCAAATTCAAATTTGAATATTATATAAATATTATTATACTTAAATATTACTATAAAAGGCAACAAAAAAGAATTTTGCTTTTATATTTTATTTCATAAATAATTATTCAAAGCATTCTAAAATGTTAAAAAAAAAAAAATAAAAAAACTAGCAGATAGTTAATAAAATAAGTTAGAAATAAAAAAATAAGTTACAACTAAGATTTCTTCGATTTTGAATCAGAATTTTAATTCAAACCTCTATCTTTTTGGAAATATCTTTTCGTTAATGAAAAAAAATTATTTGTTTTCTATTTATAAATTACTATTTATAAATTCTATTTATAAATTAATTATTTCTATTTAAAATATAATAAAAATTAAAACTACAATAAAA